TCTCATCGTGTAGATTGGCGTGCACACTTGGAGTGGAATACTAACTTGTATTCTGCAGGAAGGTGGCGCAAGAAACAACTCCGTCATCTTAACAATGTTGTGCAGGCCGAGCGGTTWGAGTTACAATTGCGAGGTGTTGATCAACAACCTCTTGAGCCAGGTATGGACCCCCTCACTGTTCGAGGAGTGATTTATGCRATTGTTYATTTACCTTCTGGTCGTTTTYRTGTTGGACAGACGATGCATTCTGCACACCAAAGGCTGCAAGAGCATTGGCATACACGACACTCTTCTGCTACTTTTCACCATCGCCATTTCTACTGCACAATGAGTGGGCAACCAGCATTCAACTTCGCGGCTTGGCCCCTGGAATGCATCTATCCTACCCTGTATCATACTTCTGGAGGTCTTGTTGATCATGGCCTCTTTCGRAGGGCTGCTGCACCCCGCGAGGGTTTTTGGGTTCGAAAACTTCGAACGCTTCACCCAGTCGGTTTCAATGCAGTCCTTCCAATGGCTAGATTGCCATCTCCATGGCGGCATTTACGTCCTTCCCGATGGACACAAATGGACCCTCACCCGTTCGTTCCGCAATCCCCTTTTGCTTTGCCCTCACCTGCTCCACCTATTCCTGCATCATCTAATCCTCCTCACACATCACCCCTTTTGCCGACACCCGCTGGCTCCCATGTTGCACCTCTTTTGCCAACACCCTCTCGGCCTTTGACTCTCCTCCCAACGCCTTCGCCTCCGTCATTTGCTATGGATCTTCGTCCAGGTCCCCAACTCATAATTCGTACTTCACTCCATCGCCTTCTTCATGAAGCTGCTTCGGGTTAACTGGTGTCGTGTCAAGGCTGACATTGAGCGGGCACAACCAGCGTGGCGGGCACGGCTTTTGCAATGGCTTTATAACAATGTTTCCAATGCGGACATGACARCAGACATTCGAGAACTCGAATGCCTCATCCGAAAATCCCAGCATACCCGCCAACGTTACACAGCACAACCTCGTGACCCGTTTACTGACCATATTAAGGTCGTAYATGTGCATGAGGTAGTTCGTGCCACGAATTTGCGCCATGTGTTGCAGTTGCCAGAAGTAGTTGCATTGGACCCTGACCCGCAAGCGGCCACACATGTTCGTGTATGTGACAAGTTGATGCCACCCACACGTGTCCAATTTTGCAACTTTACTGATGTGGCATTGAGTGTTGCTCCTGACATGACCTTTACCAGACTCCTTGAACTGCGAATGCCACAGGGCCTTTCCGCATTGTTCAAATCTTGTGGACGACCATGTTGTCTCTGTTGATTACAATATCATCTCAGACGATAACCTTCGCAAGCTTTTTCAAGAAGGTTCTAAATATCGTTTGAACGGGGAGACTGCTTATGTGCTCCAAGCACTGGCAATCGGACTCGATGAGTACATTGCCAGTTACAAGAATACATTTGCTAGACACTCTCGATCTGCTTCTTTCTCATCCCTTTCTCAGAAATTGCACAACTGGCGTTCTGCAATCCTTGGGCATTGTCAATCCAATGCGACTTCGTCTTCCAATCATGTGAGCCAGCAACATTCACTTTGTTGTGCACATGCCTCCTTACGCCATCTGCAACAACACTTTGCCATTGTYCCTGTGGACAAATCATCCCACAATTTGGCAATTTGTTGCAAGAATTGGTATTTGTTTCACCTCTCTTCCCATTTGGACAGTCCCACTTATACTCGTCC